GTTGATCACGTGAGTATCAATTAGGTGAAGCCTTCATGGTGGTCAATGTTGCAGATTTTGGACTTGGTGCAGGAAAGAGGCTTCTTTCCTCCGCTTATTCTCATTCTGATGTTGCTGAAAAGCTGTCATGTAGCTACAGTGTGATCACTGCTAAAAACTCATCCAATTATACCCTTCCTTTTATCTCAAATCGTAGAGTGTGTTCCATCAAGGCCGTTAAGGAGAGCACGGACTTTGTGCTTGACACTTCTAACAGGGAGCCATTTGATAAGAGATTCAGTGAGTCCGTAGATGAAAGCAGCTCTGATGAGGAAGATAAAGTAGAAGCTATCCTACTGTTGCAGAAGTCTTTTCTAGAAAAACAGTGGGCTATTTCGGCCGAAAAAATGATGACTTTCATGGCAAAGGAAAACAAATCTGAGGGAGTTCAAATCACTTGTTCAGGGACATCTGCTAGAAAGAGAAGAATAGATTCCCGAAAGAAGGTTTCTGAGTGTAAAAATCCTTTGGTATTAATAAACAAGAGAGGAAGATCCACTTCTGGTAAAAAGGTGCTTCGAAACCACTTAAGAAGTTATGTTAAGGGTGTTGCGAGTGGTGAGCTTCTCACTCACGCTGAAGTGGTGCAACTATCAAAAAAGGTTAAATTAGGCCTTTATTTAGAAGAATGCAGATCAAGGTGCTCAACCTTTCTTATTTTTTCTATGTGATTTCCTTTTTCAAAAATGCTTTTGACATATCCTTACGAGGTTTGTATTACGTGGGGACCTAATAGACTGAAGGATAGACTGGGATGTGAGACCACAAATGAGCAATTTGCAAATTCACTGAGGACTTCTAGTGCTGATTTGCAAGCTGCAAAAATGGAGTGTAACTTGGCAAGGGAAAAGCTTGCAATGAGCAATGTTAGGGATGTATATTTTTGGTGCATTTGCACCGATCATTGTGGAAATTTTAATCGGTAAGATATCTTAACTTTGTGTAGGGTGGCCTAATTGGACTACTCCGTGGAATAGAAAATTTTGATCCTTCTAAAGGATTCAAAATCTCAACGTATGTTTTTTGGTGGATTCGTCTGGTGAAGTCTATAATCCTATTTTACTACCCTTCGTTGCCATTGCTTTATAGTGATTTGTCTTGTGTAATGAAATTAAGTGTAGTTACCTATGTGCCTTTTGTCAGGGTGTCACCAAGGCATTAGCTGAGAACTCAAGAGTGGTACGATTGCCAAACTATTTGCATGAAAGGTTGAGCCTAATCCGAAATGCCAAAAAGAAGCTTGAAGGGAAGGAGATAACACCATCAATTGATGTAAGTTATTTAAATTATTATCTTGAGTGAAGGCGACGCTTGATTTGAGGCATCAAGCATAAGATGATTCTTCTAATGGTGCTGATTAGTGAACCTTATTTTAAACCAGAGAATTGCTGAATCTCTTAATATATCTGAACAGAAAGTGCAAAATGCAAGCGAGGTAATAAACGTTCTCTGATTTTCATTTAATTATTAAGTTTAGGTCCTAATCTTAATGCTTAACATTATTGTTCTTCTAGGCAATCATCAAGGTCTTCTCTCTTGACAGGGAAGCTTTCCCTTCTTTAAATGGTAATCCAGGAGAAACCCTTCATAGTGTGAGTCCAAATTTATCGACTTCTTTTATTCAATTGGATACTGTAAACCTGTGTAACATATTAGCTGTTGGATACTGTAAACCTGTGTAACATATTAGCTGTTTTCTTAAACCCATTATCCGCTTTTTCTCGTAGAGGGCACTAAGGCCAGCAGTTATAGATGAAGAGAAGTCCAAGTTCAATTGGTCATTGTTTTTGCCGGATGTCATCATAGGCTGTTCAATTGGTCATTGCACCTTGTTTGTTTTTAACAAAAATTTACTCTTTGCAGTACACTGCAGACAATCACCCAGAAAACATCCCTTGGCACGGAGTTGATGAGTGGGCACTCAAGGTAGTTAGCCAGTATCCCATCATACTTTTAAATATTTATGGATTTGAAACAATTCAGGGATACTCTCTGTTTGGATGCTTTATTTCCCCTTGTATTTGTAACTGAATATTGTGGAAGGCTTTTTCCGATTTTTTATGGTGTTTGGCAGGCGGAGGTAAATAACTTGATGTATGCAACAATAGAGGATCATGAAAGGGAGATTATCCGTTTATACTACGGTTTTGATGATGAAGGTCTTACGTGGGATGACATTGGACGACAGTAAGAGCCCATTCATTTGGACTGAGATTTTGTGAGAGTTTGGTGTGTTTAAAATGTCATTTGGTCGGGTTTGTTTAAATATGGTATTACGTAGTCTTGTTTGCGGGGTATTGTGTTTAAATTGAGCATAACATAGTCACTAAAATTTATTAATTTCCTACTCGCGCATAAAGATTACATTTTTATCCATCATAATTATTTTAATCATGTATAAGTCATATTTCATATACTTTAAAATGTGTTACTCATATTATAGTTCTTTGTCATCGTCATCATCGTTACCCCACTTAATAGTTATGAAATAAAAAATAAACTAGCTTAGCTTGCTTATCTGTTATTGTATTATAGGTAAAAGATACGGATGAGCCTGTTATGAAGTTGTCCTAAAATGCTATCTTGGAGTTTTTTTTGCTTTTCAGGATAGGATTATCAAGGGAGAGAGTGAGGCAGATTGGGCACGTAGCTCTAGAGAAACTAAAGCGTGCTGCTAATAGGAGAAACCTTGAAGCCATGCTGATAAAACATTGATTTCGGAGTGGAGAGCTTCACTGTAAATACAGAAAAGTAACAATCTGCAACTTATTAGTTTTTCCAGGATCAATGAAGAAATTACATGTTGCAGAGTTAATGTATCAAATAATGTATATAAGTCATATGCTAGCCGATCAAAGTAGGTATATTGATTTGGGCAGTAGTCAGTTTCACAATCACTCTGTCACAAAAAAAAAACATTTCCTAAAATCAGAATATATTATTTACGATGAAACAAAATATGTTTTCTTATCATTTAAATGAACTAATTAAACACAACATCATCAAATAATAATTAAATACAGGGTTATACAACAACAACATCCAAGCTTTAGTATTCAAAGAATTTCGGGTTGATTAACATGGATCAATATATGATATTCGAGTCAAAAAGAAAAAAAGATAAGAAAGATAAAGTATGATAAAAAGATAAAAAAAAGGATAAGATAAAGATAAATAATAAAGATAAAAATGATAAAATAAAAAGAACGAAAAGAACATATATAAAATTAAAAGGATAAATGGTAATGAACATAAAGAGAATTAAAAAAATACCAAAAATTGAAAAAGATTAATCATCCACTGATCCACATGAATATTTGCTTTCCACTTTGCTATACTCTCATGCAATTCAAAGAGAAGCATATCACTTCCGACTCTTCTAATGCACGTTGATTGGGGTCCTTCTCTCCCCCTCCTTCCCGTCTCTTCTTCACATCGGTCAACCGGTTCAACAAGTGTATCCCGTCTTATACGCACATGATCAAACAATCGCGATCGAGAATCCCACATCTTATCTTCATTAGGTTGTACACTCACCTTTTATTTGATTGTCTCATACCCCAAATGATCTTTTATACTACCTCCGTCCCTTAAAACTTTGCCAAAGTTGACCGGCACGGAGAATAATAAAGTAAAAACTGTGTGGTTGAAGTTTGTGTAGAGGAGAGAGAAATAACAGAAACCACAAAATATTGATTAAAAGGGAAAGTGACAAAGTTTTTTGGGACGTCACAAAAAGGAAAGATGACAAAGTTTTAAGGGACGGAGGGAGTAGTATTTTCACAAATCTAACGCAATATGCGCATCTCAACGACACTCGTCTTTTGAATGTGACATTGTTTCACCACAACCATATAGTAATGTAAACTTAATTACCGTGTCATGTAATACTTACCCTTCAGTCTAGTCGGCATACATCGATCATATAGAAATCAAGACACATTCTTTCATTTCATTCATCAAGTTCTGATCACACCGGTGGGCGTAGCTCAACTGGTAGCGAGGGAGTGCCACAAGGGTTAGGTCTCGGGTTCGAATCCCGGCAACTACGATGAGGGGTTACTATGCTGAAAAATGCATAGGGCCTCTGTAAGTACCGGGGACAGAGCCCCACTCTCTATCTGTCAGATTGTGATTATAGTCCAATTTACATCCTCCCATCGTGCCGTCCGGTCGGTGTTGGGGGACCCTCAGGGATGGGGTGTCATCCTTTTTTTTTCATCAAGTTCTGATCACATGTAACAGAACATAACACTTATTGGTACCTCCCTACTATTTAGGGTAATCTCATCATTACCATTTACCATTACTTCTACCTTCTCCATATACACCATTATCAATGTGAGTGGTGAATAACCATTATTGATATTTATGTTGTTTGTAATTGGATTTATTTCTTATTCTTTAATGAGAATAGATTAGATAATATTAGACTTAAACCAAACTAGATTTCAACCGTTATAAAGACACATAAAAACATTTATGTCACATTATCATCCCGGGAGATATGAAACAAACATTTATGTCACAATAGTTTAAGTTAATTTCCGGGAGATACCCCATAAAAACATAGAGGGGGTGTTTGGTAAATGGCGTTTCAGCAAAAAAATGACAATTTGATCACTTTTGGCGTTTTCGATGAGTATAAACGTTGTTTGGTAAATAGCGGTTCAGCACTAGCGTTTTTGGACGGAACCGCCGAAATGAAAACACTTCAAATAAGAGAGTTTTGGGTTAGCGTTTTGAAAAATGACATTTTGTATTATTTTTATGGCCAAAAAGCTAAATTACCAAACATATTCTGAAACCCGCCAATTTTACTCCGCATGTCAAACCCGTTGATTGAATCCGCTATTAACGACCCGCTAACATAATCCGTTATCGGCTAACAACTAACCACTGAATGCCAAACACGCCCAAAGATATGAAACAAACATTTATCTGATTAGGCCAAAGCTTAACTTAAACATGAAAACAAAAAATTAACATCCCATTAAAAACATGTTAGTTGATCCATCAATGTTCGGCATTATTTCCATTTGTCCTCATCGGTTCCTTCGAAGAGGAGGCTGCACGGCAAAGAAATAGTCAATTATCTAGCTGGCAATGGCAAACTCGTTGCTTACGCGGCCGAGCATGGCAATCGTTTGCGCCTCGCGATTTAGCTTTTCAAGTAACCTCGTCAAATTTTCAGTTCCAGTGAAGACTAATCCAGTAGCAGTTAGCAAGACCGTGTCGGGGAAGATCCTTTGTCCTATCGGCACGGTGGCGGCCCCGTTTTTTCTCCGCCGGACTCTGTGTACCCGAGCAACTGCCGACCAGAATGGTTTCCGCACAATCGATTCTCCTCTTATGCAGTCCATGGAGAATAAGGTCCCATCAATCACCATTTATGCTTTATCACTTTCTTACTTTCAAAGCAATTGTTGTTTTAGCTAATACTTTTCTCCTAGTTATATTTTTTTAGGAATTAGTAAACATAAAATATTATACCCAAATCCCAGCTAGTTTGACCATATTAACTCATACTAGTAATAGATTAGCCGTTTTCTTAAAAAAGGGTACTGCAAAATGCAAAGAAAAATGAAATTCCGTGCTTGGTTCAAGGGAAGGAATGAAGAGCTGTGGATGGAGTGTTTTTATCTTACCTTGGAGGGGAGGGGATGTAGTGAAATTTAGCCTCCGCCCATAAGCTCCCGTCCAGAAGGACACAAGATGAAGGGAAGGAACGGCACCCCATCCATTGTTGTAAAACCAAACGACGGAAAGACATCATTTTCATTCTCTACCCCTATAATAACCAACAAACATACCCTTAAACTATTGAGAGACTGTTTTTAGGGGGATGGGAGGGAAGCAGAGGGGTTTTGCTCCCTCCCCTTGTTTCTTATGAAAAAAATATCTAAGGATGCTCCCTTTCAAAATCGGGGAATACGTACTGGGAGAAATATGTTTTCTTTGCATCCCACATTCAAAGTAAGATTATATTGTTAAACGTATTAGTAATATTTAACTTTTAACACACACTGTTACTACATAATATTTTTAAGACACCAAATATATTTGCAAATGAATCATCATCGTCATCACCCCAGTGCCGCAAAGACTCCCACACTCTCGGTAGGGTAAGGGGCTCGAAAATTGCATGGACTGACTGTTGCTTCATAACAAAGAAGCGCAGACGGTTGAGTAAGCCATTTTGCTTTATTCCATCATATTCCCCAACCAAAAAATAGTGAGTCTTTGGCTCCATTGCAAACGATAGAAAAATATTTGCAAATGAATGCATTGTAATATTTATAATTATATTTTGTGATTAAAATTGTCCATGTATTATTTAATAGATAAGGGAAAGATGGTCTATTGCTCTTATTCTCTCTCTTGTTCGGTTTTCCCCTCTAATTTATCCAAGCAAGGTATTAGTTATATATCTCCTCTCCCCTTCCCCCCTCTAGTAAAATCTCTCCCCTCCATTGAACCAAACACAAAGTTAAATGTCATACTTAAATAAGGATAGATAATTCATTTACAACACCTCTTAATATATGCGCAATTATAAAAAACAGTTTTGGTATAGATGTAGTATAGTTTTGTAGATACTTTGCATATGTTATGTACTTTTGCTATTTTCATCTGGAAGTTTCAATATTCAGTTATACTCCGTATTAACAAGAACTTGATACGCTACATCAAACTTTATTTTTTCCAAAATAGACATATTCAGTCAGTCAATTTGCTTTAAGTAATGATTCGAATAAGATATGAAAGTTACATCTAATTGAAATGATAGAGTGTTGAAAGTTGATGTGCTTTTACTATAAAAGCAATGCAGATTTTGGGGTTGACCCCTATCGAGAGACCTAGCTGAACTGGTTAAATCATATACCATGCAGATTACTGTTTTAGGCATTCGGAGTTGATGGTTAGATATAAATGTGCATAGTAAGGCATATAGTATTCGATTAGGAGGGAAGTGGTTGGATTATTGGGAACCCAAAGGAACTGAACTTTGAAATGGTTTCTTTCCTGTAGTCCTCTTATTTTCTCTGGCTTATTGAGCCACACTGATTTAATCTGAAGCAGTCAACATGATACGTCATAAACGGCGGGACTTGTAACTCTGGTTGATTTTCTTCGTGCTTAGTTTGATTGGAAATGGGCAACATTTCTAACACACCTGTAAAATTCTCTATCCTCATTTCCCCATGATATGGATTTCCTTCCTTTATTTGGCCTTATAAATATTGTTATGACCAATGTGAACAACCAGAAATTGTGTCACCACAGTTAAAGTGAACTTTACAATTGAACAAACAGAAATGAGAACGATCAGGAAATCAGGAACTGTGCAGGAAAATGAAAAAGTGGGGTGTTTTGCTGTACTTGAAGCTTAAAGCAAACCCCACAAAACATTGACCTTATTTTAGTTTTGCTGGTTTGTCTTTCTTTTCCCTTGCCGTGTGTTCCCTTCACATTGGTAGAAATGTGAAGGGACATTCCATGTCCATTCTCTTTAAGGTGAAACTAGATGCACATTTACTATGGTAGACCATTAACTCAGTTTTATGACAGTGAATGATACACTGTATGATTTAAGGGTGGTGGGAAATGCAAACCATGTTGTAAAGTTGAACTGAGTAAAACGTACCAGAGATCTGGGTGGACACTATATATGAGGATTTCAAGTTTAGAACTATGTTTAAAGAACCGGACCGGACCGGGCGGGTCGACCCGGAACCCTGTCACTTGGAGCCCAATCCGGCCCGGTTGGACCTCAACCCGGCGACCCGCTAATGAGTCCGACACCAGAATTACCCGCTAGCCCGCCTAACCCGGCCCGTAACCCGGAACGGCCCAAACCCGGAAATTATATAAAACCCGGAATTATTCTACAAAAGCTGAAGTCAAGGGGGTTTGAATGCTGGTCGCTAGGGAGAAATTAGAACCCCTAACCATGGAACTACTTAGATAACTTCGAGTCTTTGACAATTCCTTGCTTTAACAACAACAACAACATCCGAGCCTTAGTCCCAAATGATATTGGGGTCGGCTAACATGAATCGATACACGATATCACCAAAAGGAAAAGAAAGAAAATAAAGATAAAAAAGATAAGCTATTATAAAAAAAAGATAATATAAAAGAGATGAATATACATATAAAAGATAAAATAACACTCAGGCCTATGAAGTGTAGCGCGCCCTTGCATATTTGACACCACCCCCAGGCGGAGGGATGACACGTCGCTTACGGGCGACGACTTAGCTGTAGCGATATTCATATTTCGATTCTTGTCATGTGATGTGACTAGGTGATACTGTTGGCCGTCACGCGCCTACCACAACACCCTCCTCCTTTATCTTGGTTTGGGACAGGCATGAAACCAAAAAAATTGATCTAATGGCGGAGTTTTTTCCTTGCTTATACAATATATAATATATATACAATTTGTATGCGTCATTACACTAAAGCTTGTTCCTACTTTGTAATTTTTTTAATGAGCTTCTACGTTAATAAGCATATAATAAAAATATAGAGTAACATCATCAGTGTACTATTGCTTTTATTTTTAACTAGTATATTTACCCGTGCCGTGCACGGGATAAAACGATTTTGTATTAATTTTACTATATATGTGTGCGCGCGCGTGCACTGACATACACATGAGTAATTATAACTATCAGGAGATCACTTATTTAGTCGATTTTAACTAATTATTTAAACTTGTCTCAGCCTATATTTTCAAACTAAAAGAGCCAATTATTTCATAACTCTCGATTGCATCCAAATGAACTTCGTCTTCTCAACCATCTTTATCTAAACAAAAAAAAAGAAATTGTTCAATGTTTATTTTTATCCATTAGATTTCATCTGTAGCTTGTTGTTTTTCGAAACTACTCATTTTTATAATTTATTTATTTAATAATGAGTGTGATCATTTTTAAAGATATTAGCCCTTCCCGGATTTAGAATTGAGAAAATGAGTCCTATCTCCTTCTTTGAGAAAAGACTTTAGAATATAAAGGTGATGGCGGCGATAACAGGCCGACTGCATAACGGGATTGGTAGCGGTCAATTTATTTTACATGAGAAAAGTTGCATGCTTTAGACTTTTAGTAGTCAATATTTACCTATAAGGTCAACTAAATTAAATTTATAAAAAGATTCTCATGTCAAGTGGTAGGTAATAATCAAAACACAAACATGTCAAACTATGCAATAAAAAATAAAAAATAAAGATGCCCCGTATTTGGAAACCACAAATGATCTCAACTTTATGATCAAGTAGTACTATATTAAAGTTACATCAATGAGTAAAAGAATTACCCTTTATACTTAGCCTAGCTTATTTATAAAGATGTTAAACATCACTTTTAGTATCACCATATGATTGTTATATATGTAATTAATAAAGCTTTCAGAGATCTGAAACTCTTTAATATTACACTAAAATAAAAAATAACTTTTACTTTCACTGATCAGATAAAAAAATTGATTTCAATTGAAAATATTTTTAATTAGAAAGGTGAAAACAAATTTGAGATAGCATTAAGATAATTGTGTATTTAGCAATTTTTAATGCATGGAGTCTTATTTTTTACCCGGGTAAAAGATATTTTATTTTTTAACTTCGTTAAACTATGTAGAATGTAGGAAAAGTATTTAACGGTGCCGCTTTTGCTCCATGACATCTAAAGAACACAGATTACTGAAAAAAGATGTCGATATCTAATTCAACAGTCATAACACTCGGTACTTAGCTTGTGTAAAAAAAAAAATACTATTTAACATTTTTGGACATCAATGGTCATATGAGACAATCAGCTTTATTGAATACCATATTTGCTACATCAACCCAGAAAATGATGAACAAAAAATGAATATATAAATATGAGCACCTTTCAAATAAAACATAAAGAAAGTAACAAATAAAATCTTAAGCACAATCTAAATCTAAATAACATTATATAATTGTGAAAATCAAACAACAACTAAATGCTAGTTTTGAGACTGGGAGAATACTCACTAAAAATATAGCATTATTATGGGCTCCTTGAAAGCCGCATTATCTATACATTGAAATTTGACACACTTTTACTACGTATGCAATGTATGGTTACAGTTCCCACAAGGGCAAAGTCAGGATTTTCCACTTAGTCAATGCCCTCCTAAACTCCTATTGCCGAGATGGTTAGAAAAAAATAAGAGGTATTCTAAATGGTACACATATGTTAATGCTCTAAAATAACAACAAAGCTAATGGCTTTAATATATTCAAAGTCTTTAAAAAATACTCCATCTTTCCATTAATTTTTTTTTTTCAAGTTGACTGACATGGAGAATAATTTTGTAAAAACTATCTATTTGAGATTTGTGAAAAGGGGAAATAAATTATAGGAACAAATAATTGAATGATTAAAATAAAATTGGCAAAATTTTTGGGACAACAAAAAATTACTTGCTTAAAATAGTATCTTAAACCAACTTTTACCAAATCCCCAACATATTCATTTTGAGACAATAAAATGTATCTTAAGTGTATTATTAGATTTTGACAGCTACTATTCCCTCTGTCTCATCTAAAGGTTCTCACTTCCCTTTTTAATTGTCTTAGTAAATGTTCTCATTTCTATTTTAGAAAATAATTAGACTTTTTAATGATTATTTAATTATCGGTGAAGAAAAATAAGGACTAATATCTTAAAAAAAATTGACTACACCCATTTTTAGATAAAAATAATAAGTCACAGATGAAATTTAATGGATAAAAATAGACATTGAGCATTTTCTTGACTACACCCATTTTGAGATAAATAAATTACAAAAGTGAAATTTAATGGATAAAAATAGGCAATTGAGAGTTATAAATAATTCTCTTTTCATTAGAAAATATAAAACGGAAAATGTTTAGATAATTAGTTAAAAATGCTCTTTTATCAGAAAATATAGATTGGAAAAGTGTTTAAATAATTATTAACTTTATGTAATTTAAATACTAAGAGTATTTATTAATTTTAAGTGAGCTTGTAATTAAAAATAATTATAAAATTAGTAGGGAATAAGAAGATAAATGAATTAGTAGTGAATAAGAAGACTAATAATTACAATTGACTATTAGTTGTGAAAGATAATGAAAACCCATGAACTTTTATATATTTTTTTGTATCAATCGAAGTACAAATAAAAAAATTATACTTCGTAGCACTTTGAAAAAATTATAGGAGTACTTCGTAGCACTTTTAATAAGCATCATATTCATATTTATTGTCCATCTAATTTAAATTACATTTTGTATTTTATTAAAAATTGTAGATGTTAGAATAATAATTTTATTTTATATGTTGACTGGGTTTTCCGGCTTTGACCGGGTTGACCCGCCGGGTCCGGGCTAACCCGTGATCCGGTCATTTGACCGGGTCACTTAGCGGTCCGGTTTTTCCAACATAGGTTTAGAACAAAATATGCTGTTAAGATTCAAGAATTGATTTTTTTCAGTGTGTAGTTCAAAGAATCCTCTTTTCATACCTTGAGAAGAAATGGAAATCTACTTAGAAGGAAAAAAGTGGAGCTTTTGTAACAACTGACAAGCTCCTTGGAGATTTGCAGAAATTCATGTAGAATGTATTTATTTGGGGGTTTGTAAGTACTATTGGGCCATCTTCAGGGTGGGGTTGGCACTTATCCTTTCACAATAGACTGATAATTTGTATAGTAGAAGGATTAAGTCAAGTGTTCACACTGGCCATAAACCAAATTATGGTGGTCAGAATGAATAATAAGTTAATACCTTTGGGAAGGAGTCATATCTCTAATTAGAGAGAAGTGTGTTTTTTCTGCACACGTGTTCGCAATAAGAGTGTTTTGCTTCGGATGGTTTTATTGCTTTAAATCCATTATCAATGTCAGTAATAGTTCAATGTTAAAAGTCTTATTTTTCATTGGTACTGATATAAACAGATCAAGGAACAACTGAATGCAGAATCAGTTGCAGTTAATGACATCAGTGGTGATGGTCGGCATGTCAGGTGAGGCTCGATTTGGGTGATATTGTTTGGTGATATGTTTGATTATAAGAAATGTGACATGTTCTTGTTTGATTCAGGTAAGCAGATTACCCTGCTAATGTAATATGAAGTATAACCCTCATGTTTTGGTTTATAAGTAATTAAGAGAGAGATGACATAATATTTTAGGTTATTACAAAACATAAGCAATATCACATTTCACGAATCAAACAGCTTGAGCTAATCTCATATTTCACTGATCTTACATCAGGTTACTGGTAGTAATCCTATTACTTAAAGTGATCTCACGTTTCGTGAACCAAAGCCCCCTGATATATTTTTGCACGGACGTCAACCATATCTAAGACTTATTTATCAGCTTTCCCAAAAAACTTTTTAGTCTTTACCTTCATGTCACAAAAATGAGTTTCCTGTTTATTTATTTCTTTTCAATTCATTACCCTCAACTGCATGCATGAATGACTGGAGCTTGATTGCAGGATCGATGTTGTGTCTTCAGCTTTCGAGGGGCAATCTGCTGTGAACAGACAGAGGATGGTATACAAAGCCATATGGGAAGAACTCCAGCACACCGTGCATGCTGTTGACCAAATGAGTACCAACACACCCGCTGAAGCATCACAAAAGAAATGACGTTCCATGCTTTTACCCATCTTTCTAGCTTCTGATTTAGCTTATCAGCCAAGATTCGCAAATCCTCCTACTTTGCTTGAGTGAATCATGTTATCCTATAATTTCTTTAATTTTATTAGCACAGAAGGGCATCTCAAGAATAAAGCATTATGTATTTTATGAATTGATTGTAATACATTGGTGTGATGATCTATTAAAAGGATTTCATCACATTCACTATTGCTCAAATTACTTGAAAAGAACATTTTCATCTTTTTTTTTAAAAGATGTGCTAAGAGCAATTGTTAGTTTGTTACTCTGTATTTGCTATGGAATGGAGGTAGTGCAACTGTGCAAATGAAACGGCACAAGGAACCCTTCCTAGGGGAAGTGGGATCAAACATGTTAGTATGCCTCGTTGTCAACCAAAAGGCCAACACAGAATTGGTAGTGCTCCCATTATTCTTTCCTTACCCATTTGGAGCGTTAAAGAAATGCTAGGGAAAGAAATGGGTCGGGGTATAAATATATTCTTTAAACAAAATTCTCCTATCCAACCATTTTTGAGTTCCGACTTCCGAGCATATCCTAAAAGAATAGGGAAATATTTGCATATCCATGAAATTTTTGAGCTTTAAGTAGTTAACAATTGTTTCATCTTCATCACCCCCACCTCACAATACCTGTAAAATGAAACGTGGATAAAACGGTAAAAAGCAATGGAAAGTAAGAAGGAAATCGTGATTGAGATGAGAACAGTTCATTTTATATTCCACAGTAGCATCATCCATTTTCAATTTACACGACTTAAGATGTTTTTACTTGGACTCTAATATGTCCCAGATCAGACCAAACTGAGATAGTTATAAAAATACAAAGAGACCAAATTAGATCAATTCAAAACAGATCAGACCAGATCAGCAAATTACAGTCCCAATAAAAACATCCTTATATAGAACTCAATGTTCTTTAGTTTTAGCCAATTCAAAAGAATGCCTATGCGGGCAGTGGTGTATGTGATTATACTAAATAGTAAGGAGTATCACATGTTTGTTTACGGGGAAATATGATTCTTTAGACTTCATTGAAATATACTTTGTATCATCCATATTTTGGTGGAAAATGACTTCATGTATTGAAAATGGAAGGATGTTGGCCTGAAAAAAATTCTCTAATGTTTTTGTGAGTCGCACACTTATTTTATACGAAGTACTTTATAGTATGGAGAGCAAAACTTAACCATATAAACCTTTACCACATAACTTTTTCCCAATGAAGTACGGAGTATAAAATATTCTTCTTAAAAAACATTTTCAATTACAAGGTATTTCCCTCGAAACTAATGGAACATAGATAACGAACCTAATTTCTTAAATTGGATTAAGCAGGAGTAACATAGTTATCCCTAAGAGCAAGTCACACACATATACTTCATACATATACTTCGAATTACGCTCTCAAGAGTGCGCTACATTGTAAAGCAACGAAACGGCCATGAATGAAGTTCATTGGGAAGCACCACTAGATTAAGCCAAATTCTCTTATATTACTTGGCTGAATTTTCCCAATAGGTTGGCTACTTTAAATAACCCGAAGTATTTAAATGGGAAACCAAATTTGCCAACGGGGTGACGTTCTCCCCACCCCAATTCACTTCCATGTGGAAAGACAATTCTTTATTATTTGACTATTGTTAAATAAATCAAAACCTATAAAATGTTAGGTCCTACATCGATAGATTTTCATCATTCGGATCCTAGATTTCAGGTCCCAGATTGATAGTTCGTGTATCTTTCGGATCCCGAATTGATAAAATTCCTAAAATAAAGTCAAAGTAGAACATATGAATAATGTAAAATTAATAATGTAAAATTCAATATGTTGCAACAAAAGATGTAACATATATTTATAAGAATAAAATAATGGCATTCCTTCCAGAAATCAACAATAATACATACTAATAAAACTAGCTACAACTACTTGAATATATAGCAAAAAAATCTATGGAATTATTAATCTTTAACTAGAAACCTAGTCATTTAACAAATTAATACTCGTAATATATACGGCGTATTAAGTAACCAAGTAAATTTTGTTTTCAAATAGGGTCCATACGTTAATATAATTTTTTCAAATATTTTAAGGCTCGCTAAAAATAAAAGAGTACATTGTATTGCAGCTGACATTCCTAAATTCCTAAGTACTTAACTCGATTTTTAGTGTTAATTGAGTACACAAATTATATTAATGTGTTAATATGGCTAAGTTGGCTAACGTCATATCGAGTAAGAAGGGGAAGTTGACCAAGGTTTGAGCGTCGGTCTACAGGGAGTCAACCAAAAAGTGGAAATCGACCGAGATCCTGGCGTCGACCAAGGTTCTGGAATCGACTTTCAGAGGTCGACTTGCGGCGGGCGTCAACCTGCGGGGTGCATCGACCAAGGGGAAGTCGGCCTGTGGGGGGTTGGTGCGTCGACCAAGGGGTTGAGGGCTGGCATTGACCCTCAAGAAGTCCGCCCATTAGCATTTCGTTAGCCAACTCAACCGTATTGACATGCTAATTTAATGGGTGTTCTCCGTGAACACTGAAATTTGAGTTTATGTTCTTATGATTTGTTAGATGCAATATATTTTACTTTTTACTACACATCATACAAGTTGATGTACTCAATCGATTCTTACCTTGTAAATAAAATGCAGTTAGATTAGAGTATGTGAATATTGTAAAATTTTTAATATTGCAACTAAAAAGAAATGTAAGGTAGTAATTATCAAATGTTGTTATTGATACATTAGATTACATGTATGTATAGCGTATTTATAGAAGTGATTTTTAAAGTTCAATAATTTTTTTATTTGTAAAAAATAATTTTTCTAAAAAAAACTTTCTAAATTTTCATGCATAGATTTTGTCTTTTACACATAAGCTTACATGTTTTTCACACCTTTGGCGGTCTACTATCTCTTCGACCGCATTTGCCACATCTATCTACTATGCAGACATTTTGCCACCGCCTCATGTTTAGACCCTCTCTTTCGGCGCTTTTTAGAACACCAACACCTACAAGGGCATATGAAAAAAGGTCCTTTAAATATATTGCGATCACTTAAAGAGTGTAATTTTGTCATCCCTTCGAGGAGGATGAACATCACCAGTTAAATATATCGCACACCTGGTTATACTGTGTGCACGGTACAGACGGGCTTTTCCTACCCGCTTGGTTTATGCGCTTCTTCGATCTCACTTTGCACCACACTCATTGCTCGTCGCCACCGCTCACCACTCACCTCCTTCTCCTTCAGCTCGCTGCTTGTCGCCACCACTCTCCACTCGTCCCCTTCTCCTCCAGCACAAACGTGGCGGCTCCGCCGGCGTAATTACCTCTCATCCCTCTATCTTTCTTTTCACTCTTTTCTTATGCAGTTTTGCTGGTTGAGTTTGTGATTTTCGGAGAAAAATGAGAGTCTATTTTGTTGCTGAGGAACCCTTGATGTTATTGGTCTCGAATGAGTTTTGTATTAAACTCAGATGAGTATACGCCTAAAAGGAATGAATATACACAAATGAATATTGAGGACATTAGAAATAAGTTTTATGTTAAACTCAAATGAGTATAATGCCCAAAATGGATGAACATACACAAATGAGGTTTTGAATTTTTTGATACTCATTTTGTAAGTTATGTATGCTCATTTGGTACGTACCACTTTATGCTCATTTTTAAAATGTTGCATATTACAAACTATCATACTACATTAGATTCACATATTGAAATTAATATGAATTGATTATAAACATATTTTAAAATTCTTTTATAAAAGAAAATACAATAAAAAGAAAGTGAATTAGAAGATATGAAACAAAGATCATGATGTTCATTGTTAGACTCATAATACTCAAAATAACAAGTTTGGTGCTCACCAAAATTGCATTAATGTTTATTTAAGAGAGGTCGTGATTTTCATCAAAATTACGAATTTGCCATCGGTTGTACGATGTTAGCCGTACAGACGATTATACGGTATACGCTTCTATTCATCACCCCTTCCCTCTCTTGCCACCATGTGGCATTTCGGTTCATTTTGTTTTATGTAAATTGTCATAACTTTTATATTTATTATCCATTTTTTATAAAACACATATCAGATTACATGATCTTTTTAGATCTTTTGAATGGTATCAATATTGCATATAAAAATGAAAAAGAAAAACATTTTTTTTCTGAATATTAAAGATCACAAAAATGAAATTTTTTATATAACTTTTTAAAAAACCGGATTAATAATATTTCTTTATTTTATTTATTGGTATATTGTAAGTTTAATTTTTAAAATATTATTAAATTTCTCTTATTTAAATTCTCCAAATCTAAATTTATTCAATTTTTTTTACTAGTAACTAAGTCTAGTTTGCCAGTCATTGGGTCAGGTAAGCCCAATTTAGGATCAACGAATCTAGTTGCTTCATTTTAAGTCTGATTCAAGGGCGGACGGTAGACATTGGACTCTTTGTCCGTTTATATCCGGTTTATGTTCTCTTATTAATATGATACTCCGTATAATATAAAGTGACCTTCTTCCAAAAAAGTAAGGAACGAAATATATTAATAATTATATAATCCTTAAAAAATACTCCCTCCGTCTCGAAAACAACTTCACAGTTGGACTTACACACACTTTTAGAAAAGAAATTTGACTTTACTGTAGAGTGCACTGTTTTGCACTGTTTAAACACTGTTTGACACTGTTTAAACACTGTTTGACACTGTTTAAACACTGTTTGGCACTGTTTATCACTTTTTTTATGTAGTTAATTTGCCAAATAAGGAAAGTATTGAAATGTAAAATTAATTTTGGGATATCTATTTAAGGAAAGTGAGAAGTTGTTTTTGGAACGGAGGGAGTATTATATTATAAACTTGAAAATGGAAATGTTGTAATCTTGCAATTAAAAAAAAGTAAGGGAGGATATAACAAAGGTGAAAGGACTTCACAGGGACCCATGTAAGACCAAACCCTTTCACCAGGAGGGTTTTTGTGTGAACCGCTGTGCACACTACGCTAAAGAGGGAATCAAAGCACCGAAAGCATAGAGATCCAACCAGCTCCCAAGCATCGGAACCCTATTCTAAGTTCATCCTTCAACTTTGGTCTCAGACTCCTCTCTTCACCAAATCCGAAGAATGCACGCTCCCGTTCTCGTTCTCAGTACGTTTTTCTTCTTAATCGTCTACTATCTATCGATACATCTTTGTAAAGAAACATTCTTTTTCTCTCGGATGCTTCTACTTGTTATAATCATGATGGTTCCGTGTCCCGAGCAGAGGATTCCTTGAAGCGCGAGCAAGGAAACAA